GTGTGTGTGTGTCTGTGTCTGAGTGTGTTTGTGTGTGTGCGTGTGTGTGTGTGTGTGTGTGTGTGTGTATCAACAGAGAAACCCTGTGGACTGTCCTAGAATGGATTGGCTGTCCTCCCAAGTCCTACATATCATCCAGCTCTTCCACACAGCTATTAGTGGGCAAGTTCTTGCAAGTGGCAACATGACTGACGAATTCGAAATTACAAATGGCGTCAAGCAAGGCTGTGTCCTGGCACCAGTCCTCCTCAACATCTTCATCACCGTCTTGCTTTCCCATGCCTGCAAGGATCTCGAAAAGGGAATACACTTAAATGACCGCCTGCATGGCTCCCTTTTTCGAAATCTACTTCGCCTGCAAGCCAAGACAAAAACCAGCACAAACCTCCTTCAGGGGCGCTCTTCGCCAATGATTGCTCCTTGAAAGCTCACTCTGAAGCGGACCTGTAAACAATGCTCAATCGCTTCGCAGAAGCCTCAAAGCTTTTAGGACTTACATTAAGCATTGGGAAAACTGAGGTTCTTCCTCAGCCTTCCCCACAAACTAACCCACTGCCTCTAAACCTTTCTATCTCTTGCAATAGCCTGAAGAACACCAAAAACTTTAAATGCCTTGGAAATACCATATCTGCAGGAGGCTCCATCGATTCACGAATCAGCAAAGCCAGCCAAGTTCTCGGTAGACTGAAAAACAAGGTACTAAACCAGCACAACGTTCGGCTGTCAACAAAAATCTTACTTTACTTTACTTTTTTCTTCCGCTTGTACCGGGGGTTGTCGAGTGGAGACACAGGCGTCTGTCTGCAGCAAGGCGAGTGGCCTGTAGGAGGGACATCCCGTGAGCTCTGAGGGTGTCTGCCACAGATTCACTCTATCTTCGCCTTGGTCTTCCTCTGGCTCTCCATTCAGAATATTTAATGTTGTATGTTCTCAGAGCTGGATGGTTTGAGGGCACCCGCGTGAGGTGTACGAACCTCTTGACCTTTTGTTTTTCAATGTGTGGTAGGACTGGTGTTGCTCCTACGGTGTCCCTTATGACTTCATTTTTAATTTTGTCTCTTCTTGTTTTGTTGACAGCTCTTCTTAAGCATTTCGTCTCGCATGTGACCAGTTTCCTCTCTAGGGCTTTTTGTAAGGGACCATGTCTGGCACTGATATGTGAGTGTTGGAAGGAAAATGGCGTTGATGAGCTTCGCCTTGGTGCTCATGGGGATGTTGGGATGTTTCAGGTCAATACAAATCAAAGTGTACAAAGCTGTTGTGCTCTCCTCCCTCCTCTACGGGTCGGAAACCTGGACACTCTACAGTAAGCACATCGACAAATTAGAGCAGTTCCACCAAAGGGCTCTCCATGGCATACTTGGCATCCGAAGGCAAGACCGCATCACCAACATTGAGGTCCTCAACCGATCAAGCTCACACACCTTGTCACACCTTCTCCACAGTGTTGGGGTTACTACAGTTGGAATATGTCCTTCTCTGCTCCCCCCCCCCCTCTTCAGGATCCATCCCAGAGTCTAAAGAGGAGCTCACAACGACATCCGGTTTAATGGCGGCTGAGGTCAGTCGCTGTTTCTTAGCTCCTGTGTTATCGGTGATTTTGATACGGATTTCAGTGGAGAAAAGTGGTTGTAAGTGGTGGTAAGAGGTATCATTCGTATACTCAAGTAAGTTTTGATATTTTTGTTGTAATTTGTGCAATGTATACTGTCTTTTCTACTGTCTGCATAATTTTTTCTTCTCAGTGAACCTTGCTTCGAGCACGGTTTCATTGTTGTTTTTTCTATTCCTTCTCGCCTGGCTATCGCGCTGTGTTTTTTTCACTCCCTATCTCACTCTTACTCTTACTTGTTCTTTTCTGTATCCTGATATTACAGTTTCCTTGTTTTAATCATTCTTCTTAGGAATAACCGTCTACTGCTAAGTGAACATGATGGCAAAAAATAACAGTGAATCTGTCCCAGCCTGTTTTTTCTTTGCAGAGCATATTGACCGCTCTGTCACAGGCTACCAAATATGTAAGGCCTGTGAGCAAGTTGCCGGCGAGGGAAGTATTATCGGAGCCCAAAAGCTCTATGGACTGTGGAGGATATACCCTGCTACGGTTCAGGCAAGAAACCAACTAATCATTAAGGGCATCATAATTAACAAAATGTTTGTCGCTATCTTCAGCGCCAGCCCGACGGTGACGAAAGGACCCAGGACTCCCTCCACATTGAAAGTCATCATTGGTACCATACCGTTGTCAGTG